ATTCCATCCACTTTGTGGGAATAACCAAAGATGCTCCCATCCAATCCAACCAGCTGGTGATCCTGGATGTGATGAGTTAGTTTGTTCACCAAGGTACCCACAGAAAAGGCACTATCTGTAGTCGGGACAGACTGGCCTTGGACCCATCACTAGGAAAACAAACCAGTACATCAATAGATTAACTAGATAGAGATGCTGACTTTCTGTACACAAACAACACACTTCGGAATAAGATCAGACATATCAACAAGATGAAGGCTTACCAATGGCGAACTTTGAAAAAAAAATATGGCATTAGAATCGACATCACTAAAGCCACCCCTATGGCTGAGATACATAGATGACACCTTCATACTCTGGCCACATCAAGAAGATGTCCAACTACTGGACCATGTGAACTCAATAAGATCATCAATACAGTTCGCAGTGGAGGGAGAGAAAATGACAACAAACTCGCATTCCTGGCTGTACTAATATCTCAAACAGAGCATGGGTTCAAGACATCTGTATACCACAAGCCAACACTCACCGGACAATAGCTCAACTTCAACTCCCACCACTGGTACAGTGTGAAGAAAAGGACTGTCTGCTGCTTACAACATCAAGCAAAAGTCGTAAGTGGTGACCCAGAGACATATGAACAAGAATTGATCAGTATAATCAGTACCCTTTAACATAACTACCCTGGGTACATGGTAGCAGCTCCAACAAACTCAGATAGAAAGGTACAAGATAACACTCGGATAACAGCTCCGGTCTGCCTACCCAATGTGATGGAATTATCAAAAAATATACAAAAGTTCTGTGGTCCATCTAACATCAGGATGACTTTCAAAAGTGGTTCAACACTTCGCAGACACCTCTTCCGAGTAAGACTCCCCCATAGAAGAGAACATGACTAAAGACTGTGTGTACGCATCCCATGCAGCTTTGGTAAGAAATATAAAGGAGAAACAGGCCACTTCCTTAAGGTAAGACTGCAAGAACATCGTAAAGCAGTAACATGAGGTGAAATAGAAAAATCAGGTATAGCTGATCACATATGAAGGGAAAATCCCTGTGGGAGGAGGATTGAAATAATAGAGAACATCACTGAAAAATATGAAAACTTAAAGGAATCAGTGCATATGCTAGGCCACAAAAATCTCATCTGGCCAAGTATAGAAATGAATCTAGGAACCAGTAATATGGAGTGCTAGAGAAAAGCAATAATAACAAAAATTGCAATATGAACTCTGCTTTAAAAAAAAAAAAAAAAAAAAAAAAATTGGTTATTGATACATTAAGTTTATAAGTCTCAAAAATTCATAGACTAATGTCCTCAAAGACACTTGGACCGGTGGATAAAACTGACTTGGCCCAAAGAGTTGCGAGTTCAATGCCTGGCTACTGCAGTGAACAAAAACTCGGGGAACTGAGTTAAAGGTTGATAACCAAGACATCTGGAAGAGGCATGGTACAAGGAACTGGAAAAGCTTACAATGACCAAAACATCATGAATATAACAATAAAGTTGAAGACACCAGTCTGAAGAATTTAAATAGTTACACCTCATCTCATATATAAATATAGACAGACGAGGAAAAATATTTGTTTGCATTTCAAGCTGAAATCTGATCTAAGAGGGATAAATTCTTAATCCTACGATGTTAAAAATATTCTTATTTTCTCATTAAAAGCAGGAGAAATGTTGGGACCATGTGCTTTTTTGAACAATGTAAATCGTGTAAATGTTCGAATTTTTACTTTTAATTCTGTTGCCAACATTTCAATCAATAAGAATATCAGAATAACTGATAAAAAAAAAAAAAAAAAAAAATTCTAACCAATGCAAATAATCTTATTTAAAAAAAAAAAATCCTTCAAAGCATCTAAATAAATATAAAATATAAATAATTTCTGTAAATTCTAAGTGACGAAAAAAAAAAAAAAAAAAAAATCAACCGAATAGCAATAAATAAGTTTGCCTATCACCCAATTCAAACTCCTCTAACGTTTTTGGAACAAGAGTAGAGGTTTATCCTTTGTTTCCCGTTTAATATTGGGTTTCCATTTCCTTCCCACATCAGCTCTATACTGAAATGTTATTTACAATTTTTTGTTTTCCTCTTCAACAGGAGTCAATAGGTTTGCCTTCTGTCCAGTTCACACTCCTCCCTGGTCTTTTGAACAAGAGTAGAGGTTTATCCCTTGTTCCGTGTTTAAGGACGGTTTTCATTCTAAAATCTTTCATTTACTTTCCCTCCCAGTAGACCCTTGTCTTTTAGTGGCATACTTGCCCTGCTTGGGGCAAGGAGGTTAAAAAAACTTTTTAAAATATAATCAAAAATTGAGAAGGGCTGTCTGGAGACTTTGTAAAACACCAAGACAATGTTTAATACAGTTTTTTCTGCTATCAGTTCTTTCAAGAAGTGTGGGTTGTTCTACACAAACTTGAAATTTTGGGTAGTGTAGGTATCTGTTCATATCTAAACTGAATCCTTGGGCCCTTATCTGTTGAAATCAATAATTTCACCACCCAGGGAGGAGAGGTTTATATAAGCCTTGATTTCCTGAGTAGAAATTATAAAATTAATACTTTTGTTTTTTTCATGATTGAGGGAGTTCAGAAAAATTGTGGGTTCACCCAAGAAACCCTTCCAAAATGAAATACATTGCTGAACTTTAGAGAAACTGGGTATAGCAGAAATTTTCAGCACCCCATTCATACATTGCAAGACATTAGAAGCAGGTATTAAACTTTCTATAATCCTTTGAGCATATGAACAAAGACAGGAAAAAAAAAAAAAAAAAAAAAAAAAAATATATATTTCATTCATTTAATATTTGTCTATTTCTTTGCAAGGATACTAGCGTAGAACAGGAACTGCAGAGACATTCCTCGAGTGCAGAAGGGGGTACATTTCGACCACACCCTCACAGAAGAATTTACAAAAGCAGACAGTTGGTGAGTAATGGTTTTAGTGCAAGAAAATGAAATTTATTTACAGGACTAAATAAATACCATCATAGCAATATTAAAAACGGAATTTTATGACTTATCCACAGTTACACACTTCACAAACTATCGACAAAAACATAATACTGCACAAAGATGTCAGTGGTCAGGAAGTAAAACAAGCCTAACAGAGAAAATATCATTTATTCGTACTATGCATAGCTAATCATTTTCCTAGAGAAATATTTTATAAATCAAGAAGGAAGGATGCTTACCAATCCAGGTTGTTACTCGCAATACATTTGAAATAAGTGCTCAAAACATCACAATTTATAGACAACTTCTACAGATGCATGCTGGGATTTCTTTTTAACCAATAGAAATGAACCACTTAATTTCATCTGCCATATTTTTCTTCTTGTCTAGAAGTAAGAATGCTAAAAGCAATTGACTGTATCTCTTTTGTGAATATGAACACAATTCTTACTTTGGGATCTTTTTGCTTTATTACTGTTGCTTTACCTAGTTTTGACTCATATATATTGCTTGCCGTGGCATAGCTAGAGTGTGCACCACCCAGAGAGCCCTTGGGTTTGCTGCTTCAGCTCCCACAAAAAATACATATTGCACATTGACACACTCCTAAAGTTATAAAACTTGTTTGTGTACCATTATAATATTACTTTCACATACTCAAATATAGCATGCTTTAAATGCACACCAAACTACATAAACTTTATCAGTAACAGTTAAAAAGTAAAAACGACATATATAGGGGGGGGGGAGAGCATAAAAAAAAATTAGGACCATCTTTATTTCTGAAATTAAAATTACAACTGGTTAACTTGCAGTGTAACACCCACACTCCGTTTGAATTAAAAATTTCCAAAATACTTACATTTATGTGTAATTGTACATGCTTCATTCAAATCTGGCTTGATAAATTTGATAAAATCTACCATTTTGGAGTTATTGACAATGAAAGCTTGGACTCATTTGTGCCATTGGCAGCAACCATTACTGTCATTGTTTGAATACATTCACTGTGGAAAGTTAAACACAGAAGACTACGGAAAGCTAAGCGCGGAACTGATCTTGTTTAAATTTGTCTCAATTATTGCACACGAGAACTATTTACGTAGACATGCTTAGTTTGCACAATGATACCTACACTGATAGCTATTCTGCAGCAAATGTATGCAAACAATGCCTGTAATGGCTGCCCTCAATGCGAATGAATACAAACTTTCACTGTCAATAACTCCAAAACGGTAGATTTCATCAAATTTCTCAAGCCAGATTCGAATGGAGCATGTTCATTTACACATAAATGTAAGTATTTTGGAAATTTTTAATGCAAACTAAGTGAAGGTGTTACATTGGAAATTAACCTTACAACTTTCTACAAAGTTACTTTTCTTGCTTTTTTTATTGGCAAATTCTTCAATGACATCATCAAAAACTATTTCCTCTGATAATTGTTGCTCTACAAACAGTAGATAGGCCAGTATAGATGTCATAGTTTAAGTTACTCAAAATTGAAAAGATCCGTCAATTGTGAGTACTGTTCCGACATTAAAACCACTTATTTCAATATGGCCTCTACAAGCTTATAGCCTACAGCAGACACAAAAGTGTTGCCGCCATAAGAATGTAACTCATCCAGTTGCACCATTGATTGTTTGCTTAGTATTATTTTGCTCTGTTCTTTTTTCCCCACTTTTCTTGTTTGAGAACTTTACCAATTTCACTTGTTGAGCATTTACAATTACTCAACTATGGCCAACTACCCTGTACAGTTAACCATGAAGGAACTGAGCCCTTTATTTAATTTGAAGACATAGACTGATCCTATTCTGTTAAGTATGTCTAGCGATATCTCATCTAGACCTTATTTAGTACTTGCCCCATATTTGCAGAGTCTAGTCTGGAAGGGGCAGTTCTTGGAGTGTGGGAACTGACTGGAGCTCTCCTTACAATTGGAATATGAAGGAACATGGGTGATTCAACTTTATGGGAGTAGCATGGCATGTCCTAACTATAAAGGCCTCAACTGGTGGAATTAAAGAAACCTCAACTGAGAAAGAGGCTGGGCTTGTGACTGAGAAAGAGGCACTGAGAAAGAGGCTGTGGTTGGACTGAGAAAGAGGCTGTGCATGAGAAAGAGGCTGTGGCTTGACTGAGAAAGAGGCTGTGGCTTGTGAGAGAAAGAGGCTGTGGCTTGTGACTGAGAAAGAGGCTGTGGCTTCAGACTGAGAGAGGCTGTGGCTTGTGACTGAGAAAGAGGCTGTGGCTTGTGACTGAGAAAGAGGCTGTGGCTTGTGAAAGAGGCTGTGGCTTGTGACTGAGAAAGAGGCTGTGGCTTGGTGACTGAAAAGAGGCTGGGCTTGTGACTGAGAAAGAGGCTGTGGCTTGTGACTGAGAAAGAGGCTGTGGCTTGTGACTGAGAAAGAGGCTGTGGCTTGTGACTGAGAAAGAGGCTGTGGCTTGTGACTGAGAAAGAGGCTGTGGCTTGTGACTGAGAAAGAGGCTGCAGATTGGAAAATATGTCTGCATAAATAATTTGGAACTGTCAAGGCTAGAAAGTGAGAATTGAGCTGCTCCTTTTTATTTATTATTTTTTTCTATTCTTCAACAAATACAAGGCCCAAAAGCCACTAAAGATAGAGAGGTGCCGAATGAAATTGTTGCAAGGGCATAAAATGAGAAAGAAGACACTCATATTATGGGGGACATGTAGGAAAGATTATAGTTGACTAAACTTGAAGAGGTTAAGATCGTAGTGGTCAAAGAAACACCTCTTATTCCACAAAGTAACAGTTCTGAGAAAGAAGCAAACCTAATAGAACTTCCTCCTTACTAATGGAATATGAAGGGAACAAAGATGTGCCAACTCTGCGTTATAATCCTAAATCAAGAATTTACATAATTTTGCTTGGGTGTTGGTGTGATGTGCACAGGACAGACAAAAAAAAAAAAAAAAAAATGTATACGATATTGAAAGGGCAGAGAGAACACCACACGTGATAAAGTAGAAAATATTTAAGTGCAATGTTTTGTCAAACTTTTCTTTTAGGAAAAAAAATGCAAGACAAACACTGCAAATTGAATTCTTAAATAATTTAATTCTTCCTAATATCTAAAAGACTTTAATCAGATTTCTTGATGGAGTAGTGCTCAAGAATGTAGAAGAAATAAGTGGGAAAACCCCTGTCTGAGAGGGGGGCGGGGAAAGAGGGATGAAGGGAAGACAGAGAGGGGGGGGAGACAGAGAGGAAAAGAGAGGAAAAGAAAAAAAGAGAGAGGAAAAAAAAGAGAGGAAAAAAGAGAGAAAAAGAAAGAGAGAGAAAGAGAGAGGAAAGAAAAGAAAAGAAAGAGAGAGAAAAGAAAGAGAGAGGAAAAAGAAAGAGAAGAAAAGAAAGAGAGAGGAAAGAAAGAGAGAGAAAAGAAAGAGAGAGGAAAAGAAAGAGAGAAAAGAAAGAAAAGGAAAAGAAAGAGAGAGAAAAGAAAGAGAGAGGAAAAGAAAGAGAGAGAAAGAAAGAGAGAAAAGAAAGAGAGAGGAAAAGAAAGAAAGAGAGAAAGAAAGAGAGAGAAAAAAGAAAGAGAGAGAAAAGAAAGAGAGAGGAAAAGAAAGAGAGAGGAAAAGAAAGAGAGAGGAAAAGAAAGAGAGAGGAAAAGAAAGAGAGAGGAAAAGAAAGAGAGAGGAAAAGAAAGAGAGAGGAAAAGAAAGAGAGGAAAAAAGAAAGAAAGAGAGAGAGGAAAGAAAGAGAGAGGAAAAGAAAGAGAGAGAAAAGAAAGAGAGAGAAAAGAAAGAAAGAGGAAAAGAAAGAGAGAGAAAAGAAAGAGAGAGAAAAGAAAGAGAGAAAAAGAAAGAGAGAGAAAAAGAAAGAGAGAGGAAAAGAAAGAGAGAGAAAAGAAAGAGAGAGGAAAAGAAAGAGAGAGGAAAAGAAAGAGAGAGGAAAAGAAAGAGAGAGGAAAAGAAAGAGAGAGGAAAAGAAAGAGAGAGGAAAAGAAAGAGAGAGGAAAAGAAAGAGAGAGGAAAAGAAAGAGAGAGGAAAAGAAAGAGAGAGGAAAAGAAAAGAGAGAGGAAAGAAAGAGAGAAAAGAAAGAGAGAGGAAAAGAAAGAGAGAGAAAAGAAAGAGAGAGAAAAAAGAGAGAGGAAAAGAAAGAGAAAAAAGAAAGAGAGAGGAAAAGAAAGAGAGAGAAAAGAAAGAGAGAGGAAAAAAAAGAGAGAGGAAAAGAAAGAGAGAGGAAAAGAAAGAGAGAGGAAAAGAAAGAGAGAGGAAAAGGAGAGAGAGAGGAAAAGAAAGAGAGAGGAAAAGAAAGAGAGAGAGAGAGAAAAGAAAGAGAGAGAGAGAGGAAAAGAAAGAGAGAGAGAGAGGAAAAGAAAGATGCAATGCTAACTCATCACTCAACAGAACCAACTCGCCCACATTTGCTGACTGAAGAAATGCCAACCCAGTACATATGTGGTCATGACGGGTGGGGTACATTTAACACCCCACCACCACCTGCCAGCTAACTGCTGCATCTCCCACCCGTGTCCCATGCACCAAACCAATAATTTCTGCCTCCTACCCCAAGTTAGAATTGGAAGGAGGAGGAAGCTGCAGGTGTTCTTGAAACTCTAAGCAAAGGTGTGTGTGTGTGTGCGTGTGCGTTGGGAGGGTGGGGTGCGGAACTGGGTGCCACAGAATCTGTATGAGGCCAAACGAAGGAGGAAGAGCCAAGAGAAAGTGCAAGGTGTGTTTTTTGCAGGGAGTGGTGGTGGGGGGAAGTAATGGAATAGAAGAGACATAACAGGTACGGGTTGTCAGAGGTGTGACAGGTGAAGGCGGTTGGAAGGGGGCGGAGGAATGGGAAGATTGCCACAAGTGCAAATATCTGCCGCCTCATCTTGGTTTTATACAGTTCTGCAAACCCCGACTCCACCCATCAAGACAAATCTTAAGATGGGAAGACTTTTTTTTTTTTTTTTAATTTTCTTTTCTTTCTTAAAAAAAAAAAAAATTTAAATAATGCATTGCCCTGTAGATTTTTCCTATCAACATTCCCTCAATGCATTTACAGTTTTTTTTCTTTTCTTTTTGGCAACACCCACCCAGCCCCCTAGCCTTCTCACAGTAAACATCAGTGCCATCCAAAAGGCACATTTTATTTAAAAAAAAAAAATAAGTAAATAAAATAAAAATACAATTATGAAAAATATTGCGAATGCGCTAACAACAGTTTTTCTTACCTGGTAGTTTTGTTGGTACCAAATGTGAATTTGAATCTACTAACCAAGAGTTTTTTGTTTTTTTTTTAATTTAAGTATGGTTTGGTTTAATTTGTTTAACGGCATATCAACCTCAATGAGTTATTTAATGTCGACAACATTTTTTATGGCTGGTAATATTTCGTTTTGTCAAAAATTTGATAATTATTTTCAAATAAGTATTGCTGGGACCCTAACAGGTGCTACCACCCCGGGTCCGGGTAGACCTGGGAACACCAGCAATTAAGAGCTGGTTCCACGCTCCTCAAAACCTCCCAATCAGAGGCCTTACTGCTGGACGTAGTCTAACGTCTTATCCAGGACGTTTTAAGTATGAACAAAAAAAAAAATAAATAAATAAATAAAATAAAGCAAAAAGGTCTGTGGCAAATCATGGTAATTTGCAAGTAGGTATTGCCCCATGATCTCGTCTAGACCAGTGGTTCTCACGCCCCCCCGTTTTTTTTTTTTTTATCCAATGGACTACTTTTTCCTTGTATTTAATAAAAAAAAAAAAAAAAAAAAAAAAAATTTAGGAATTGTATAACAGAAATACTAAATGTATATGCTTTATTTTGAAGTAAAACTAATTTAATGAAAATAAACTTGTATTTAACAAATAAGTTCTATGAACATTTATGGCTCCGTCGATGTCAATGATAGTTTACGATCATACCTTTTCACAATGTTGAGTCTGTTACTATATTAATTTATATTAATATATGAATATTTTATTTTAATAAATTCTAAAAATAATATTATTAATATATTTATTTTTATAATAAATTATAATCTTTATATAATTTTCTACATATGCACACACACACACACACACACACACACATACATACATACATACACAATGCTTCCTTTATACAGCCTTCTCAGTTTTTATTCAATATTTACAAATAAAACATCCGGTAGAGTTAAAGGGATTCTAGCTTACATCACTTGATATCATTTTATAGATGTTTTTCTATTTTGGGGATTTTAATCTTGCGTAGATTACTATAGAAATTCCAATTCGCAGTTGTAACAACCGTTCCAAAGTGAAATTGCCCTTTGAACCATTAAATATTACTATGAAAAGATAGAAAATATTTTTTTTTATTTAGAAGGGAAAAAAAAAAAAAAAATCACCTATGTGTGTGTATGTGTGCTTTATTACTTCAAACATTATTATTAGGGGGATACTCAATTTTTATTTTTAACAGCACATATTATCAAACCTGAATTTCCCTTTGAAGGAGAAACCAACATTTGATCTGGTGTGCTTTACCATTTGGCTACAGAGAGCTTCATATTTCAGCAAGGCTCTATTTATATATACTTAAATATTATACTAAAAAAAAAAAAAAAAAAAAAAAAAAAATATAAAATCTCTAAAATTTACTTTCTCTTTGCAAATTTACTTTCTCTTCTTTAATTTAATAAGTACCATATATATAATATATAATAAGTATATATATATATATATATATATATATATATAAAATGAATCATGAATATTTTTTTCTACTCGGGTGGTGTTTCTCACAATTAAAAGAAAAGGAGTGACTTTTTAAAAAAAAGTCAGCAATATTTATTCTGGATCTTTTCTTTATGATTCGTAGTTCGTGTCGAAAATCAACCCAATGATTTTGTATCGAATTAAAAGGTAAATTGTCATCTTATTTTCAGACAACCATTTAGCCTTTTCTTTTAATCCATGGCAAATCTTCATCCAATTGTTCAGAATAGGTTGAAAGTAAAAGATTTCTACGTTTGTAGGTCTGTCCAAATATTTTCTCACTCACACTTAACATTTATTCTGTAGCTCTTCTTGATAATTCTTAGTTCATGTCAAAAGTTGTTAATATATTTTCCAAGTATTTTTTTTTTATCAGATTTTCAGAATGGCTCGAAAGCAAATTCATTCAGAGTTTTCTGAAATGAATCCAAAGAAAATCCTTGTCAAATCCTTTAGAATGGGTTGAAAAGAAAAAAAATAATTTGTGTTTTTTGGTCTATCCTTGAGTTTTCCGTGTCAACAATACAGGAGGTCCTCGAGTTACGTCAGACCCAACATATGGGGTTTTGTGGTTACGGCACCATCTCCCGTTATATAATACATTGTCACACAGCGCTATATGAAGAAGA